GGGTATTTTCAGCCTTGCTTGTGTAGAAATATTATTGTGCTTCCCCTTGTGAAAGATAGGGGGTTTCAAAAAGAGTGCATGATTTCAAGAGAAACTTCTTAGTTATCTGTGCTCCATACACCCACCGCCTGGAAAAACCCATGTGCAGTAATTTCATTGTGAGTTGACTTGTTGACTTCATGTCATTGGATACCAAGAGAACCAGCTGAGCTATTTTTAAAAGGAAACGTTAGCCAATCCTGTCAACACCACCTGCAAGAACCAGGAGAGGAGTTCAAGGTTCTCGAAACTTAGGCAGGGGGCATAGAAGATTAGATTTTCTGAGAGAAAAAATTTACTTTGGAGAAAGTCTACCCCTTCTCCTTTCTGTCTTCCTCCGCTCCCACCTCTTTACCACCCGCTTCCCATTTATTTTAAGCAGGTACATTAGGTCAAAATCTAGAGGCGGAATTACCGGTTTAGTGAGACCGTTGCTTTCTGCAGGTATTGGAGTATTGGAAAGTGCTGTAATAACTGGAAGTGCTTCAAAGCGTGTTTTGCAATAAATTCACCAGCCTTAGAGAAAGTAAATCACTGTCACTATCCACAGTTTGTTTCCAATTCGACTGAATAACCTTAATCTCATCCTAATAAAGCTGGTACAAAGAATAAGAATGGAAGGGAAAGAAAAACAGGTACAAATGAAAGGTTTTCTTACCGATGTTATGGACTTTGTTTACGATGGGTGTTCCCAGCAGCGGAAACACCAAGTTTGTATTTAGGCTGGTGATCTGGGTGCCCTCTATTTGTCGCTTCTAAGCAATTAAGACATGAGCTAATCTGGCAGCTCTACACTTGCAGTTGCAGGCACTCAGACCTGACAAACTCTGCTTTGTGTAGCCCAAACTGTGCTTTGCCTAGCCGGCAGCATGCTGGAGGGAACAGCTGCTTAATGACGGACCTTAACCAGCCGTGCTCCCTACTCCTGACACAACAGCTGATGAAAGTCACAGACCTCAAATACGTTCTGCTCGGCTGAAGTTGGGAAAAGCCCTAGAACGTGCTGGGCCACATGGGGAGGTAAATGCTGTGAGAGTAAGCTAATGGACAGCAGATAATTGCATAGTGCACTAAGTACACATAAAGGTAGGGCTGTACTACACTTTCAGGGACAGCTGGGCAAGCTCCCACTTCTCAAGTCAGGCACAGAAGCCTTATTTGATGGTTAGGTATATTTTTTTGTAATCGTAGTAGCTTTGACATGTACTTTATAGATTGTTCTTTTTTTTTTTTTTTGACCTAGCGCAGTACTGAGGAGGATGAAAGACCAAACTGCACTTATTTGCCTTTCTTCTTCCTAAGCCCAGCCATATGACAAGTGAAGAATTTTGTGCGTTTGCTCAGCAGGGTCCTTACCTCTCCTGTCTGCAGTGAGAGAGAGAGAACATTTACCCAAGCTGAATGAACAAAACCTGCAGACACTTGTTTCAGTTTGCTTTAGCCTTTCTTCATGTACAAGTAATGTTCATTAAATGGCAGAGACTCGGTCGCTTTACATATTTTGCCCAGCAGACATACATGATGACACTTCCAGGGAGCTCTGAATGACTATGGGAGCTCCACTGACAACAGAGGGGTTGCAGTTTGCAAGCTACACTTACTTTGGTCTGCTGCTGGCTGCTGATTAATTTGAACTACGCTGGGGGAGGGAGGGAGCGAGAGGCAGACACCAAAAGGTAGCTGCCCCTAATTCTGACGTTTTCAACTTTTGAGTAACTAACGTGCGCTTTAGTCACATCTGAAAGTGATTTAAGGAAAAAAAGATATTTTTGCACAGTGAGTGTCTTCCCTTGCAGCCACATTATCCGAAGCTGTTTTGGTCCCATCCTGCACATTGTCACTGAGGCTGAACTTCACCATCTTCTGTAATCAAAACAGCCTGGACAGCTACCACTGAACTAAGTGTCTCAATGGGTTATTTCCCAAAGGGATCAGCTGCTGATTTAACAGAAGGTTCCCCTCGCAGGACATCCATCTTGGGAGGCTTCCACTTCTTTGTTACCAAACCCCAAAATACCTGTTTGCGTGGCCATACTCCAACGAAGTAACCCACCCCTCCCAGCTGACTACCAGTTCTGACTGTGGCAAAATTAGTAACTCTAAACAATAGCAGCAGTAGGGTAATCTCTAGAGCAGCCATGAAGTGGTAGGATGGTACGTGTGATGATACTAAAATATTTTGCTGCAGTATTGACAGCCTCGAATTTGATTGTTGGCTCTTGCAGAGTTTGCTGGGCATAATTATTACATCCCTTAAATTCCACATGGAAAGAAAATTGAGAGGAAATGCCAATTATTAGTCTTCCAAGTAGGAGGACATGGGATCTTAATCACTAACAAAGAGTGGGAAGTGTACAGAAATAAGAGAGCTGAAGCAATAGAAGCAAATTTTACAGATCTGGCCCCCAGGATACGTTCTGCAAGAGCCAAGATAGGAGAGTAAACCACCTCACAATTCCTCAGAGAAAGAAGTCTTTGTAGGGTACTGCATCTTCAGTCCATGGAAAGAGAAATGCTTTACCTTTTGCTTTGAGCTAATGGTACAGGTCGTGTTTCCTTGTCTCCTGGTACCTTAAGGACTTGAACCTACACAGTCTGTCCTGTGTGGTGCTTGACCTTCACTGCTCTAAGCTTAATGCCCAGGAGCACACTCAGCACAGCTGAAATATAGACAAGATTGCTGTGCAGTTAAAGTAGTTTAACAAGTTCTACTGAACCTGTGCAACTCAGAGTTTGCAGATGCTTGGCCAAGTAAAGGCACTTTTCATAGCCTCTGCCAAATTTCAGAAATTTTCACCAAATTCTGCATGCGTTAAGATTTTTTTCATGTGAAAAGTTTAAGGAAAATGGTTAAAAATCTACAAAGCCAGGGACAAACCTCATTAATTTTTCTTATTCTTGGAATTGGCAAAAGTATTTTTGCAGATATGTTAAAATATTTGCTTGGTGGTTTTTTTTTTTTTCAATTTAGGTCTTTGCCTAGACTGATTTTTTTTTAAGTGGAAAAAATGGGCTTGCACTAGATACAGGATCTTGTAATTGGGAGTGTCAGGTAACCTTATGTGAAAAAATACCTCTTAAGAGAACTACTTATGATATGTGAAACAGTGAGAAAGCAAAAGCCTAGCTTCGTATGTAATGCATGATAAAATATTTGCTTGGTTGTTTTTTTTTTTTTCAATTTAGGTCTTTGCCTAGACTGATTTTTTTTTAAGTGGAAAAAATGGGCTTGCACTAGATACAGGATCTTGTAATTGGGAGTGTCAGGTAACCTTATGTGAAAAAATACCTCTTAAGAGAACTACTTATGATATGTGAAACAGTGAGAAAGCAAAAGCCTAGCTTCGTATGTAATGCATGAACTTAGAAATACAAAAGAAATGAATACAATATTAAACTACTGAAAAATGTTGTTCTACTTTATGGTAAGTTATATCTATGAAAAAGCCAATAACAACAGAACAGGAAGGGTGAAAATTGGAAGGCGAGTGGAGCTAAATAATTTCTTGCCATGAGGTGAAAATATAGGTAAGCTTTGTCAAGGACAAGATCTTTGGTGAAAGACAGCGAGGAGAAGTGGTACAGAGCGATGAAGCAAAAGAGCCTTCGGGAAAGGAAGGGGAAATGTGGAAATGGAAATTCAGGCCAATGCTAGGAGCGTGGCCTCCGCTGGCAGGAGAGCGTGTTTTAATGTGCAAGGGAGATGGCTGTGGATCTTCAGATGCCAGTTCTGGTTACATGTTAAGGCTCAGAGTGAGAGTAGCCTCTCAGGGTGGCTGCCCAGGGAAGGTGTGGGGTCTCCTCCACAACATCTCCCAGATGTTCAGCCCAGGGCGGCATTCTAAGCTGGCCCCCAAGGGCCTCTTCCAACCCGAACCTGTCCATGTGCTTTGGAGCCTAGTGAGAAGGTGTGATCATGGAGAAAGTGGCAATCTCCATTTCAGGAGGAGAGAGACATGAGGAGTATTTCAGCAGAGACTAAGTTAATGCTAATAAAAAGGCAATATGCCAGAGTTGTGAGAGACTGACAGGTATGGGAACTGTGTAGATTAAATTTGTGTGCATATAAACAAGTCTTATAACAGTCCTTGCAGAGATGTAATTTATAAACATGAGAAAACGTGATTTTATGAAATATGCAACTGATAGTAAATCAGCTTACTTTTTACTTTGGGGGTATAATGTGAGGAAGAGAGCAGAGCCTGTTTCTGTGAGAAATTCAAAACAAAAGAAGGAGCACTGCTGCAGATACTGTATCACTTGTGATTAAGGCAAATGTTCTTTGTGTGTAGATGCATGTGATACGCATTTGTATTCTCCCCAGTGTTTTCTAGCACTTAAAAGTAATCAAAATGGAATTTGGTGAAGAAATGATAGCTATTCCACAGGGCATTTTGAAGAGACAGGGAGCCGACCTTCTTCTAGTTTTATGTGTCTCAATTTATGTCTCAATTTTATTTGTCTATACTCATAGACTTAGAAACAGAAATAGCTTTTGAAAGAAAATGAGTCTCTGGCCTCCACGTGAAGAAGATCTGAAGACAAATAATCTCAGCCTGGAGTTAGCCATACTTCTGTAACGTAACCACAAATGCTTCTCACCCTTGTGGATGAGCTCCAGGGAAACCTGAATTAAAAGCTCACATGAGAGCAAAGCATTCCCTTGCGAGTTTCACCTTAAATACATTTTGGACAATTGATTAGCATCATCCAGAGGATACCAGGGAAGTCATAATGCAGGGGAATATCTCTGACATGTTGATTTTGCTTCTGTCCTGTGCCCTGACAAGCACTCCTTGCCTAAAAAAGGCCAGGAAAAATTAACGGTTATGGTCTCACTTCAGGGGATGGGTTTCTCCACAGCTAATGGCGGTGGTCTAGGTCTCCTTCATACAGGTGTCAGCCATCCCCATTCAATAGATACTACCCGGGGAATACGTCCCGAAGGGCTTCCCGCCGTCATGGCTCGTAGCTCTCTTGGCTTTGGGATCAGTGTTCTCCACGTCCTGCGGGAGGGCAACCATCTGCAGCAACTGATTCACCCCTCCAAGATTGCTCCCTGTCATAAATATTCTGGCACTTTGTCAAATGTAGTTTTAAATGAGGCATGTTTTGGCTTCACTGAGTCTGGTTTCTTTCCTGTGGTCCTGGGCCATTATCTTCTGCAGTCACCTGTGGGTTTTGTATTATTCTCTGCCTTGTTTTGCTGGTTGTTGTTCATGAATCTACACACAGGCAGTAGGTGCCCTAGGGTAGTGTGCTGTAACTACTCTTCCAGCTCCCCGACAGCCCAGCCTTTCTTCTAGGCCATGTTCTCCTTACTTAAGCAGACAGAGTAAATTTGATTGACATTTTGGTACACTAACATTTTTTTTAAGGTAAAGCTGTGACACCTGCCCTGCATTTCCAGCTTCTTTTGAATTAGGAAGCAGCAAGAGACAGAACTACAGCTCTCATTTTCAGGGCAGTCCTAATGCTCTTGAAAGGATACCATGGAGGTATCTAGATGTCCCTCTCTCTGGATGGGTATCTCTTCTTCCTTCAGACTGGGAGTCAGGGCTGCTGCCTCTTGCTGGGGACTGGGATTATTTCAGTGGGTTGAACTGAACTGTCAGCACTTGCAGTGCTGTGGACAGGGGTGACTAGCTGTTCTCTTAGGGCCAGCTTTAATCAGGGAGCAGGGGGGAAGTCAAGTATTTTAATAGTGGGCTAATAGGAATTGACCTCAGATGGCATTTCAGTCATCTGACACATGATCTACAACAGATGCTGACCAAAAATTAGAGATACTGAATTAGGGTAAAAGCATTGCAAAACAAAGCAAAACAAAACCCAAACCGAAAAAAAGGCCCAAAACAATGAACACTCCTCAGTCATCATTTTCAAGCTACAAGGTCAGACTCCCTCTACCCCTTCAGGGCTATCTCTTCATACGCTATGTTTGGGCAATCTTCTTGAGACAGAATAAATGTGTGCGTGCTATTTTTACCCCTTTTTCTCCCACTTCTATGTCTACATCCATGGAAGTCTTGCACAGAGCACTAGCTATTTCCCTCAAACTGCCTACCAGTGGCTCCTGCCTTTACGAGAAACCCAGCCAGAAGCAGAGATGCAGATGGGATAACACTCAGGTAGCACTGACACAGTGGTCTGATTATGCCATGCTTATAGAGCATCGGATCTGTCAGGTGTCCTTCTGGCAGTGCTGTTGATGACAGGGGGAGGCAGAACAGCCAGAGCCAGCTGGTACATTTGATGCTGAAGATTTCAATGTGACAGGATTTAGTAAATGAAAACTCAGCCAACAATCATCAGGATTATTTGACACAGGAGAAAGACTGTCCCCTACGTCAGCTTGCTCTTTAACTGGATACTTTGGCTCTCTTCCATTTCCTTGGGGGAGGGCAGGTAGGAAGAAAGATGTAGGGGGAGGGGGAACATCTTACAAATGTTCGCTGAACAGAACATACATTTGGCCAAGTTAGTGCCAAATTGAGCAGGTTTCTGATGTCACCCTTAGGTAGATAACTAGCTGGGACAGACTTGAAAACAGCTCAGGCAGAATCCCAGCTTCAAACTGAAGAAGCCATAGGAACATGCCAGCTTTCACTAGGTCACAGTATGCTTTTCCAGGATAAGCAAAATTGAGGACTGACAAGAATTAAGTTTCTTGGATTTTACTTCTTTTATTTGAAACACATGCACTGGTCAAGTATTGACTGCATAGTCAATAGTTAACTTCAAATGAAGTAGAAAACGTGCCCTTCTAGTTAGATGTAGACTATTGAAATTCTATGCAGTACATAGGTAATAAAACATTTTCAAAAGCAGAAGAAAACATACACAATAGGTGTGGCTTTCTCAGTGGATTTTTTTTATGCTTTTATATGTCTAATCCAATACAAAGTAAAACATCAGTCATCCAGTAGTCTCTGGGAGGGGAGGATCATGTGAGAAATGGTCAAACTCTATAAAACCAGCTTAAGAGACGGACTTTGAATTTTTGGCAACAGAGGTGTATAGCTGTAGATTGGAACCAACCCTTTTCTGCCAACATTAGTGAATAGTGCTGAAAGCTCATGCAAAATAGGACAAGCTAGACCCCTGACATTTTTCTCACAATTGTTTCTTTTTAAATTGCTGCCTTTGCATGCAAAGGTTTGTTGGGTTCATCCATTATGCATGTCCTAAAAATTTGATAGAGGTCTCATATGTTCCTTCTAAGAGGATAAAGCCAGCTGCAGTACCCAATTGTAAAGACGTGGTTACTGGCTTGAAATGTCATTAAGTGTATTATTTGGTATTCCTCCGACTTGAATCTTTTGGGTGGGAATTTAAAAATGCTAGTTCTCTCTGATTTTAGAGAACATTAGAGACAGCACACAATTATTCATAAAAAAAGGCTCAAGGGGTTGTTACCGGGTTCTATAGTAAAGATTTGTTCTTTCTAGTGATAACATAATGTGTCATAGAAGACATTACATAGAAGTAGCTGTAGATGTTGGTGCCTGCCTTTTTGAGAAGTGTTTTAGGAATATGACTTACTTCAACTAACCTGTTCATGTACCTACCAGATCATGCTCAGCCTGGAAGTATTGTGCACTTTTTTGTTATTTCTAAAAGAAAGGTCAGCAATGTCAGTGGCTTTGTTTTAATCGCGTTTGATGAATAGCAATTTACTGTGACATTTTCACCTACTACTGTATTAGGTTAGCTGTTCATTAAAAACTCAGGAGAAGGTGCCATCACCAATAGTCTTTCTTCCAGCATCTGGATTTCCTAGTTCTCCCTTCAAGTTTGGTGTGAATAAGCCAGCTGAAAGTAGGATGGCATCTGAAATATGTGTGATCAAGCTGACTTCTCATATTAAGTATTGTTGTTGTTGTTGTTGTTGTTGTTATTACAACCTAGTTCTGTGTGATTTCATTGACAGGCTACACAAATCTTTGTAGAGATATGCTCTGTTGTGTGTGAAACAAACATGGAATACAGATGCTACTGATGAAGTTTTATTATTGATTTTTCTTCACACAAAAAGTGTACAAAATAGAGTCAGATAAAAAAATGGAGACCTTGCCCTGGTTTATATTTTTCTTCCTTTATGAGAGATTTAATTGGAAATCTAACAGGAAAATAGACTGGAAGATTACCAACTGCGTGGCTGGCATGCCATGAAAGATCAAGTGCCTTTGTCTTTCAGATTGCACTCCAAAGCAGCTTTATCACGTAACTGAGATTTCTTGTGGGTTTAAGGATACTAAATATGACATCAGCAGCTTCAGTAGCAAAAATATTCTAAGGTATATGGGGTAGAAAAGCTACACAAGTTCTCGTATAGTGTTTGGAAGTTGAGGATGAAGAACCTTTCGCCTTGTCATCTTAAAGTGAAAAAGGAAAAAGAAAGCTACAGAAGCTAAACAATCTGTACACAGCCCTATTGACTGTTCATTTCCTAAGGATCTTTCCAAAGAAGCATTTAGGAGGATTGCTTTTTCAGGGCTAGCCTCTAGAGTATTTCATCATGTCAGCCAACCATTCCACAGGAGTAGAAATTAATGGCAACATACCTCTTACGAAAGTCCCTTCTGGATTTTGCCAGTTACCTTACCTGGTACACAGTGTGTCTCTGGGGAAAATTGGTCAGAAGTATCTACTTGGCTGTCACTTCTTCATACAAAAGAGATCAGAGTTCAGCCTGTAAAACCAGAGAGGGAAAGAAAGAGGAGTGCTCAAGTCTTTCTGTCTGTCCTAGTTAGGTGGAAAACTTAGTAACCCTGGGGCCGGAGTCACACGGAGCTAGTTTCACTGGCTTGGGGACTGTGCTCAGCAAAGATTTGTCTCTCTGCAGAGGGATCATAGTGCCATGCCTCTTGACAGAACGTGATTTCTTAAAGCCACGTTTATCCCAGGGACCTTGTTAGAAGTGGATTACCATCCTCCACAGGCTCTGGTATTCAGTAGTTGTCCAAACCAGGAAGGAAGGACTTGTGCTTGTGAAACTGTGCTGGAAATAATTCAGCTGTTTACATGTAACGAGAAGCGTTAAACCAGACTACCTGAAATTGGTTAGCTTTCTCTTTAAATTGAAGCTGCCAGAAATATTTCGCTGTTGACAAAAGAAAAGAGGAGGAAAAAGCCATGATCAAGGAACCCTCTATATGGCATAATCTAAGGCTTTTTGCCTATTACTGGCAACAGCAGCAGGGAGATTCAGCATCTTTAGGAAGTTTAAATGAAAAGATTATAACTCTGTATACACCTTGATATCGATTACAACATCATCACAAGCATCATCACAAAAGACAGCTAAACTTAACTATTCATTTCAGAGGCTGCGGTCTTTTCCACAAATTGAGTACGGTTTTATGCACCCACTAGTGGTTTTGGCATCTGCAGATTAAATATAATTTGAACTCTTACCAGTGCAATAGATGGAATTATCTATATCCCAGAAAAGGTTGCATATAGCAGCTGCAGATATTTCATATCTAACACATGGTATTTTCAGGAAGGTACAAAGAGCAAGACAGATGAAAGCATTTGGAGCCTCAAGTGTTCAGGTCAGAGCATGTTGCAAGAGAGGGATTTGGCAGATATCAAGGATGGAGAAGTTGGTATTTTCTATAGCTTTTTGCTGTGTTGACAGTGCAGCTTTAGTTTCAAAAATTAAGCACATCTCACAGAAAGAGTGGGGAACAGTAGGAAAAATGCTTATTTCTGCTATGGGGATGTGGTTTCTTTTGAAGTTAATGGCAGTCGCTTCCTTATATGGTCTTTGGAAGGGGGAAAAAAAAGTCAAAAGACTGCAACAAAAAGACTATGCTTACATTTGAAATCGAAGGACTTCACCACGATTACCTGATGATACTCTGCCTGGTTTGCTCATTCAGAAAAAGTGGTATTAGAACTGCTGTGTAAGTGGATAGACTGAGATTTGGAGGGTGGGTTGGCGAGGTGTTTCTGGTTGGCCTCATTGCCATGGCCCTGTCAGCACACATCAGCTGTAACCCATAGGAACTAACTACTTTTGAAAACAAGTCGTATTTCATCCTTCATGCTTTTTGACTCTAATATTGTTTTAACAGTTTGCTGGGTGTACCAGATGATTGATGCTGTCACACTGAAGATAAAATTTATCATTCTGTCATTTTTATTCAATATTTTAGAAGCATTTTGGTGCAAGCTGGAATCTGAAGCAACGTTACACATTTTTTCTATGGTTCACCTTAGTTATAAAAATAATCCATCTAATTCTCAGTGATTCATTGGCAGACATTTCCTAAATACGGACCTAGAATGAATTAGTAGGTTAGTTGAACCTGAATATGTCTTGAAATACATGTGCTGTATTTCTTTTTAAATATGCTACAAGGAGATATAAATGAATATAGGATCAGAACCTTGTGAAATACATGAAAGGAGAACAGTTATGTTTAGTCATGTGCATATTTGGCCTAGTTTCATAATAAACATAATAGAATAATATCAGCTGTTTACAACAATTACATGGGATGTAGTGAAGAGCTCATTACACTGAAAAAAAGTTTGAGCTCCTGAAATTTCAGAATATAATGTCAGAGTTTTTACCTGTAAAGGTGGCCTGCAGGGACTGTGCTTTGTTCAGTTCAGGGCTGAGGCCTCAAAGTGGCATTTAAATGGTCTTGTATCATCCGTGATTATTAGCAGGTCATAAAATTACTCTAAAAAGGAAAGAAAATTACTTCTGGTATAGCAGAAGTTCCATTATATACTTTAGAAATAGATATTTACCTTATCTTCAAGTCTTCTTGACTTTAATTTACTGTCCATATGAAATTATGAAGTTGCCTGTGTCACAAGTCACAAGTTACTGCTGCTGAACCCAGACAAATAAGGTCCAACTTGGGGTGAAAACAATGAGAGCTGAATTTGCTTGTTCCTTCAGAAACCGGCTGCAGAAGACTGGTTTTGGTACACTTCCACATGTGCTACATTATTTGCTCTTTCTGTGTTTCAACAGGCCTTGAATAGGGGCATTGCTGCTGTCAAGGAAGATGCTGTGGAAATGCTGGCCAGCTATGGGCTGGCATACTCCCTGATGAAGTTCTTCACGGGTCCGATGAGTGACTTCAAAAATGTAGGTCTGGTGTTTGTGAACAGCAAGCGAGACAGGACCAAAGCAGTTTTGTGCATGGTTGTGGCTGGCGCTGTAGCTGCTGTATTTCATACCTTAATAGGTAAGGTCACTTCACGTCTAATTAATATGTCTTTTAATTCGCTTTCTTTGCCTGTTCTTCAAACTGATTAATATGTAGGCTTAAGATTTCATTTATAAGTGCAACAGGAGTTGCAAAAGAGATTAAATCTCTTGGACTGATATCATGCCCATCCATGCAATTTTTATGACTTTTTAAACAGGTTGTTAAGTGGCAGATTCCACCCCCAGGGCTCTCCTGCCTGGCAGCAAAACATGCTGCTGATCTCTTTCAGTCAGGTGTGTGAGCAAAACTTTGGCAAGGTTGATAGGTTGCATGAAGCTGATAGCTCAGTCTTACTGTTAGGTAGTGATGATCAACTAGCAGTATCTGCCCGAATGGGTTTAGCAGGACTTCAAGGTGTGCTTGGTAGGGCTGCTTGTCAGAACTTGGTGGCATTGTCGGTGTACTCCCTCTGTACCTATCCCTTTGCACTTACCTCACAGTACAAAACTCTAAGCAAGTAGGTGCCAGCATCCTCATTAAAATATCAGGTATTACTCTCTACTAGTGCTAGTCATCATCCACTTCTGTTGAATAATTAATCTGTAAGAGAAGTAGTTACTAAGAGCACTTTATGCCAAACTGAGACCAGCTCCCTGAGTGTACTCTGAAACAAAGAAAATACACAACCAGATATGAACTGAACATAAAAAGTAAGGCAGCCACAGAATTTGCCAGTTTCTGAGAGCCTGGAGAAATGGGATATCAACCCAAGCATCAGCCACAGCAATAAAAAGCCATGTGACCTGGAAGACTTTAACTTCATCCTCTCCAAGAACTGCACCAGATTCTCTGCATCTTCTGGCTCATCCTACAGAGCCAAAACCTCTGGACCTCAGCAACGAGGAACAGGAGATGCTGGAGGAAGAAGCAGAGAGTGCATTGCATTCAACAGGTAAAATCCTAAAAGCTGGGAGCTCTAAGGGTTGGGAGGAGGGAGGTAATGCAACAGCCTATGGAGGCATGTGTTGGTTGACAGGCAATAGGGTTGAGTTGGATGACCAGCAGTAGGGGATCATTCCATCACAGAAAGATGGGAAATGTGAGTGTGATGGCAATATCCAGAATTGCTGTGAAATTACAGAGTGGCCTGGAAGTGAGGCACCATTCATTATCAGGCTATTAGTATCTCAAGAGCACCACGTGCTGCTAGTCAGCTTATGGAATGGAATGGAGTAGAACAGAATTACAATAGAATAGAATAATAGAATAGAATAGAATAGAATAGGAGTAGACTACTTCAGTTCCTGCCCATGTAGGTACCAGAGCCATCTGGTAAATAGGAATGCCCCCTGCTCTTATCCTTTAACAGGCTACCAGCTATATTCACCAGCTTTATGTGCTTCCCAAGCACTCCAGTTTGTTTGACCATCATGTTTCTTATTCTACCACTGATAAAACAGCCCTGTGCTGTTTACCTTTACTCCATGTTACGGTCATAATAAATGCTTACAGTAACGGCTCACTAGCCATGGCAACTCTGTGCCAGGGGTAAGCTGTTGCTAATTTTATAAGCTGACTCCATGCATTCAAGTTAATTTAATACACTGGTATTGATTGTTCACTCCCTCAATATGTTTACAGTTGAGGCTGCTGTATTGAGTCAGTATGGGCTCAACTTTGGGCCATTTGTACGTTTGGCTCTCATATTTCTTTGCTTGGAACGTTTCTTCAGCCCCCAGAGCTGCTCTTCTAGTTGCTCACTTGTTTTCCTGCCAGTGCTGGTCAAAGTTTTTGGCTTTGCCAGCTGGATAAAGAAATATTTTCTAGTCATCCAACATTTTATTTTAAGCTACAATAGATATTAAGAAAAAGTATAATCATCAAATTTCCAGGTGAAAGATATAGCTGGATTTTTCCATGTGGGACTTCTTATTGAAGGGAGGTGTTTGGGGCAACTGCTGGAAAACATGCCAGATAAGTTTCTTGCCTTTGCCTGGAAGTAGAGCCCTGCTGAGTTCAGAACCTCTGAAATGCCCTCTCTGCAGATACTGGGAAAAAAAGAAAAAGGAAGGCTGTACTCACCATGCTGTAAAGTCCTGAATTAAAGGGCTTCACAGATATTGCAGACTGCAAAATATTTTTTAGTATTTTAACTTGTCTATGCCTGAAAATATGCAAAGGCCACAGCAGAGACTGGCAGACTGCCCGAGAGAATGGAGTTAGTCAGATTCTAGCACCAATTCCCTGGGTGATGTTGCCAAGTTTTATGTTCCAAGTTTCCTTTGAACCTGTTTCAAATTCTGATTATTCTTCTCTGACCCACAGATGCACAACCTGCCTACCAGGAGGAAGAGAAGGAGTCCAGTGACAGATAGGCAGCCTCCTAGGACCTGCAACTACTCCCCAGCAGCTGCAAGCCTATCACAGGCTACCTACAGGAGACACAAATACAGGTTACCGATGCTCAGCAGATGAAAAAGAGAAACAAACAGCGCTCAGGGGACTGAATTTCTTCCACATGCCATGTATATGGGGCTAAGGAAGACGACATGACTGTCTGCCGTGGACTGTCGAAGCCCAGGAAGGAACAGGGAACAAAAAGCCCAATGAAATAAGGAGGAGTACCAAAAGTCAGAAGGGAGAAAACAAGTGGTGGTAGAAACACAGTGACCACAGTGAATCACCACATTTCCAACTGTGATAGAGACTATTTGCAGTCTGCACACACAGCTCCTCACAAACAGCAGCCTCTAGTTATTTAAAATATCAAAACAGACCATTTCACCCACCTGACTCATGCTTCATTGCTTCAGCACCAGCTCCCCGCTACTGCTGCCCCACCAGGGCTAACGCAATCCTCTGTGGGAGTGACTGGCTGAGCCAAACCACTTGAACTCACAGTTGCAAGCTCTGGGTCCCTAAGTCATCACCCCACCACATTCCCATGAATGTCTGCAAAGTCCTCACCAACAGTTCCTATCACTCCCCTGTACAGGTAGCAGTAAGAACCAAGAAACAAGTTGACCTTGACCAAAGGGATTTGAAACCATATTCTCATCCCACTTATAATGCTGCTGCAAACCTTGGTCGGTACAGTATTCCTGGATTTGCTGTTTCAGTTGCAATCTGGAAATAGAAGATAATGTGCTGCCTTCCTTCCTTTGTGCTATTTTGGGGGCAGCTACTCCCGCCAGTTAGGGCTTCCTGGTGGGAAGTTCACTAAGTAGCGAGGGTCTAAAGTGCCTCGTTATTTCAGAGATTGGCTTTTGGTGGGAATATTGGGCTGTAAGAGAAGGGATTCAAGATGCCAAGCCTGTCTGTGCATATTTTTGACATCTTACTAAATTGCCAGCTTGACAGAGGAGAGAAATCATTTATATAACATTATGCTAACGTAATGCATTTCATGGTGTTGCTGGTAAGCCCGCCATACTAAGTGGGTCCTTTTAACACCAGTGTCATGGAAGACATGCACATTTTCTTTGGCAATAAAACAGCATTGTTCAGCTTTTCGCTAGTTTACTGAGAAGTAGTATGCTGAGAAAGTTTATTTCCTTTTGCATATTAATATTACTTTCCACAGCTCTCTGAGGTTCTGGAAATGACAAGGCAGAAGTTACTTTGGGGAAACATCCTGTTTGCTTAAGTAGACATCCTTAACTGGTGCCCACTACACCTGATTAAAAACTACATGATGGATCGTTTGTCATCACCAGGAAAAAAAGGTTGGAACTTTAGTAACCAGGCAAACCTATAGCAGACAGGATGGTCAAAACATGCGAGTGATTTGTTTTGTACCAATTTATTACTGACAGGCTAGCGGGCATGGGCCACTCCCTGCACTGATTGCACAGGGGAAAACTTTAGCAGTTGCTAGTAATTCCACTGATTCTTTTGAACTTCCCACATGCATGGTCACTGCATGTACATGAAAGATCTGCATAAGAAGCGAGACATAGATGTAATCCCACCATTTCCAGTGTAACACTACTGGAATTTTCTAGAGAATAGGAGTTACAGAGTGGCTTTTGACAACCTGAGCTATTTTTCGCAGTCAGTCTTGTTCCCACATGCCCGCTGTACAGGCTCGTACTAAACATTTTGCCCTGGAAAAAGACGATAGCACAGGAACACAAATCAGAATATAATCCAGGCTTGCTTTTTTTTTCTTCATTCTAAAAGATGATAAGATGTTATTCATTAAAAATTTGTCCTACTTCAGCATCTTCAGATGGCCATTGCTAAAGTAGTAACATGCTTCCCCATGCCCCAAGTCTTCTCCCACAACAGGGGCAGTTTTTTATCAGCAAGGTATTCAGGTCAAAGGAAGAAGGAAGAAAGCCTATGACCAAAGCATTTGTGGATTTTAGGATAGCAATGATTGGTTTTTAGTTAAAACAGGCTAATTTTGAGACTTACGAGATGCTGGCCTACGTAAAGATATTTCAGAGACCAACGGTCATTGATAGATTTGGGAAAATCAACTAATGCAATTTTGGAACTAGAGCTGAGCACAGAAAAATATGATTGCAGTAATCAGTCTGCATTGAGATGCTCCTAAGCTGCTTTTTTAAAAATTTATTTATTACTATGAGCAAAAAAATTACAAAGCCTAAAACACTCTGATCATCTGGGCTTTCACAAGGGGAACACAGGCTTTTGCTTCTGCTTTAAGTCAGGCTAGTCAAAGACATAAAGAAATCTATGTACCCTGTGCCATCTCCAAAGGAAGATTTGCCATTCAATTTTTTTTTTTTTTTCAAATTGGCATTTTCTTCTCTGCCCAAATCACTTAGCTGAACAAACTCCTGACCGGCACCAGTTTTGGCCATGTGAGCCATCTTTCTGACAAGCAGCAGAATAGATTTTTACTTCTCAAGCCTCCAAGTTCATTTTTAAAACTGGCAGCAAAGTATGAAAATGGAATGCATCTAAAAAGAACACACTTTAACCCAAAAACATTTTTGCATTTTTTTTTCCTCCAGTAAAGCTAATACTGACATATGTAGCTCTGTGTCTGGAAGTAAATGGTATCACTTCCTATGAGGGTTTCTTTTTGTTTTCTTTATGATGTAAGTATAACATGCTGGGTAGTAGACAGCTCCAAAATGACTACGGTACAGCTCTTCGTTTGAGATTGCTGGCATCATTAAGAACGTGTTCAGTTGTTTTAAGAATGTCTGAAGTTTATGTGGTAGCAATGGGCTTGTTAGAGAAATTGGTGTAGGGAAGAGGAGATCCAATTAGGTATGCAGTTTTCAGAGTCATTTCTTAAGCTTCTGGGTCTTAAAGCTCAACTGGAAAAGCAAAAAGCAAGAATTCCTGCTTAAATTCTGTAGCAAAACTAATCCATAGACATATCAAAATAAACGAGGTATTAGAGGAGAGCAAACAGGCAGCTTGTCTTGGAGTTGGACTCTGTTTTGGTTGAAATGATGCAAGGAATGGGAAGAGCCATCTGCTTTAGATTCATGTAATACTCTTCAGCTCTGTTGTCTGTGTTATTAATTTTGTACGATGCTTCATAATAAGTTTGTAAAGTTGGCCAAGGTTAAGTTCTAATTGCATCAGCAATTGCTTTATTCACAGCTCAGAGACACATGCTTGTATACTTGTCAGTAAATCTCAGCTTGCTGAGTCCTTCTTTCTGAAGATGGAAACACTCATGGACATCAGCAAAAGTGATTGTGTGCTTTCACTGACATGTGGAATAGCTGACTATTTTAAAACTAGCTTTTAAGCTTAGCCATTGTGATTTTAAAATCAAAATCACATTAAAAAGTTCAGTTAGACTTTTTTTTTTTGAATGGGGGAGAGAAAAAAGAATCTTAAAGCTTACAGAGCACAGTGCTGATATCCTTAGAAATCGTAAAAATGTGGTGCTGTGGGCTCTGGTGGTATAAGTCCCTTGAGATTGCCCTGCCAATAAACTACAACTCTGTGAGGAACTGTCTGTTCCTAGAAGTGAAAGTAGTTCAGCCTCTGACCCCTCTGATTCTGTGAATTCTTCTGTGATAGTAAACTTAAAAATTTAAAAAAAATTGAACATCTCAATGGCTTTTAGAGCCGAAGAAGTTACTTATCACTCACTTTCTAAACACTTTAAAAGTCTCATTTAAAGCAGGCGAAGCTGAGCAGGTGAAGTGCATGGAGAGCACAGAGGGTGACTTTTGCAGCGTGCTGTCTTCCCAGCACTGCACTGCTGGTGGAGGCCCCTCCACAGAAGCAGGTTCCTCAGCACCTGGACTTTGATTCTGTCAGTCCCCATGTGGGGAATAAGGCTGGTGTGTTTCCTGCAGCATTGTTTAACTTTTTGTGCGGGAGAAGTGTAAAGCAACTTCAACAGAACCTAAGAGAGAGCTCGATGAATCTGACCCTCACAGGTGGCTTGCCTCATGTGCCTTCCAAACTTCTCCTTCATTCAAATAAGTCAATTCAGAAACATCCATGTACTGCCCTGCTGTAAAAGCAGCTTTCCACAAGGACTTACCATGCAAAAATCCTTGTATAACAGAAAGTTTTCAAAATATTGAGTGAAAATTGGTGAATGGGTATTCATGCAAAAATAAAAAGAGGCTGTACTTGATGTGTGACTGGACTGCAACAAGCACATGAACACTTAAAGAACTAAACTGGCCTGCCTGAACTGAGGAAAGGTTGGAGTCCTGGTTTAAAGTTCTTCCCCAACCCCCTTCAAAAGGAAACAAGGCTGGGAGTGCCTCAGGAGGATGGCTAAGCAACTTGGGGATTACTGGGTGAACTGTGAGACTGCGAGACTAACAGTCGTAGTTCAGATGAAAGACATATAGGTAGGGACCAGCATAGGGAAAGGGAAAGTTTTTAACATCTTAGCATCTTTTGGGCAGTCCTGGTTATCTGGAATGAGGCTCGTGCCTGTTCCCAGTGCTGTCACACCACCTCCTTCTATTTTACCACCTTGTTTACACTGTCTTGTTCGGTCTGAAAAAGTCTTTTTCAGTCCTGTTAACCATCTAACTGCTGTATCCCTAAGCCGTCACAAAACAATGATGACTTAAACTCCACTTTAATTGCTTCGAAACACTGTTTATGAGTTATGAGAGGTAGTTTTAGGCTAAAAAGATTTATTTGGACAACTAGTGTTAGCATTTGTCAATCCGATTATGTGACCTGCATGCATGAAAAGGATAAGCTTCCTGAAATACCCTATATGAAGGTCTGTACAATGATAATAGAGTTGTTATAAATGGAAAATCAGATAGATGTTCACATTTGAAATCATTATCTTAGAAAAGACACAAGTGGAAGAGAACTGAGGTAAGATTCCCCAGGCACAAGTAATTCTGCCATTAGTTGTGTTGGGAGGTTGACTTTACAACCTAAGCATTCTTTTAACTGCTGTTACAAGTGTATGGAGGAAACTAAGTAATAATATGCAGGTCTAGAACACAGTTTATAAAAAGTTAAAAACTATTTGGATTATTTAACTGTGCATATTTGTAAGTCGCCGTAGTTCAGAGACTCCAGTCATAGCTCTTTGTTATTCCTGGTCATGTGGAGGACTCTGGGGTTATTAAAACAGCTGGATAACATGGGTACTAACAGAGATGTAAGCAGTTCTTTAGAGAGCTGTGTGGTGAGTCCCTGCTTCTGTGCTGTCTTCAACCCAGCACCTTGGGAAGAGAGACCTGGCAAGAGGCGTGTTGCCCAACACTAAAAATTCTTATCTTGGGTTGAAACAGCATGGCAAAATAACACTGGTGACCAGAAGTGGCAACCCCCTGATTTCCAGCAGTGCCCTTTTCCGACCTGTGGCTCCTGAGATGCCGGCTCTGGATAAGGAAGGAAACTAAGGCTGGTTGAGGCTGACCAGAGACTGTACAGTGAAGGGCGCAATGCCCTGACAAGTCCCAGCAGAGCTGATCGTTAGGTGGAGTAAGGGAGAAGCATAATGAGTGTGATTTGTTGCATGCCTTTGCAATTCATAGTATCGTTTTACAGCTTTGGGCAGGTTTACAGGTAATATCATGAGAATGCAGTGGCAATAGATGGTTTCAGCATTTATAAGGTACTGCATCCCATGAAATACACAATGCCTGGTGAAAACAGCTTTTCTAACAAAGAGCCTTGAGTTAATGAAAGAGCAATAGATTTTCTGGAGTACCAGTGTGTTCATTTAGCAAACAGATGTGGCACTTACTATACCCATATCCCAACCCAGCCATTTGTTATCCCTCCTCTGCCAAAGGTTACCTGAAAAAGAACCATGAGAGCACTCCTTAGTCATAAACAGCAGCTCGTGAGGCTATAATATCCTGAAGCCCCTGCAGCTGTTTGCTAAGTGGATGCATGTCTGAGCTCCTAGCATCACAGTCTTTCAGGTACTTCTGAGTATCTCACCCAGAGTCCATATGTAACCTTTATTATTCATTCCTATTCTTGTGTCTTTACAGCATATAGCGATTTGGGGTATTACATTATTAATAAGCTGCACCATGTGGATGAATCAGTAGGAAGTAAAACTCGGAGGGCCTTCCTTTATCTTGCTGCCTTCCCTTTTATGGATGCCATGGTGAGTGCCTGATTCAGAACTGAATTTTAATGGGTTTTTTTTTTCTTCAGTGACCTTAGTTCACAAAGTCTGTTACCTGATGGAAAACTGGAGGTGTGCAGAAGGAAGGTGTGTTCTTTGCAAGCAGTAGCTCTGGATATACCTGGACACATCATCTCCTGCTACCTGGAAAAAGCATCTGGGTGGACTTTGAACATCCAGAGGTCATGACAAATGTAAAAAACCTCAGCTGCCTTGTTAGAGTTACTGTATGTGCATGCTGGAAGGCACTGGTCATCTTGTGATGAGCTGCACCGGTTGTCTGTGTGTGTCCTCTCATTCCAATTTGTAGTGAAAGAGTTGGATTTGCCATGCATTCCCAGATCGCTTGCAGAGCTCCCAAGGAATAAGCTCAATATTTTCTCAAAGCAAATTTGTTGAAAAGGTATTTCTTACCATCAGTTTTTGCAAGCACAGCTAAGTCCAGTATATCTCAAATGCTTGGGCAAGAGAGCCACACACGGAGTGGACTGCTGCTTCCCAGATCACCAGGCTTACTGCTTGTGGCCTGCACAACATAAAAATATAGCAGCTCTCTTTGATGCCTCTACTTCTGTGTAAAACTGGTAAAGGATAATCTTCTCATGGCATGCCTCCACCACTTTCTCTACCACTTTGTCTGCTTGAATCAGTAGCTGACAATAAAAAGAAGTTGGATCATTAAGTTTTCTTTTCCAGACAGGACTCGGTATAAATCAGTGGGCCAATGAATATTACACTTCAGAGGTGCATCCAGCTGGTGAATGAGAATAAACATTTTTTCCCTCGGATTATTTAGTATGATAATCCATCCTGTGCAGCATCTGTTTTATGAAGAAGGGGCAGTTTCATATTAGATCTGCTCAGAAATTTCTATACAGTCTATAAAATTAATTCTCATTCTCCCTGTCAGCCCTGGCAATAAGGAACTGAATGCAGCAGTGCTTTCTCTGTGTTACTGGCTTAATATTTGCCCAGGTTCACACCAGGTACTGCTGGTGGAAAAAAGTTTTATAAGTTGTTTGTGTACAATGTAACAACCAGAAAACAGCATTCTGGGACCTGAAATCATTCACAAATATCATAATCACTTCCCAAACTCTTCTCTGCCTTTTTTCAGGCATGGACCCATGCTGGGATTCTGCTGAAACACAAGTACAGTTTCCTGGTGGGATGTGCCTCCATCTCAGATGTCATAGCTCAGGTAATGGCTCCTCTTAGCAGTCACTGTTTCCGTTGTGTTACCAACTAGATGCTTTCCTAAGCAGGAACTCTCTTGCACAGAGACTGCCTTCTCTCTCTACCATGAACAACACAACAGAGGAAGTAATCTTGTGTGCTGTTCTCTGGCTGTTTCCCCGTCGTGTGGAGGCTGTTTGCTGACAGTTGTGGTTTAGGCTGGTCTCACTTGACTGGACCAAGTCAGTCCCAAACCAATGTCAGGAGAAGGGAACCAGGATTGTTTGGTCTAGGACCATGTCTTCCAGCACCTCCACAACCCTGTTTCAGAATGGCTGAGAAACAAGTTACATATACATGTGTACATCTGGGAAAAAGAAAAGTCAAGCAAAGAGACCGATGGCTGCTACCAATCCTGAGGCTGACGGAGTGCTTTGAAAGAGACCTTTCTCCCCCCTGTGCATTCTCCCCCACGCTTCACACAGTTGCACTGGAATCCTGAGTGGGGCTTGTAGGTGGGGAAGTGAAGGCTTGTTTCTCCAGTTCACCTGTCAGTTTTGCACATGCTGTCTAATCCAGTGAAATACAGTAGTGTAAGCCATCTTCTGAGTGCCAGTATGGCACTGTTCTTGTTACTGGTCCAAAAGGTGAAGGCTCAGAACTGCAGCAGAAGGGATCTGTGGTGACAGCCCCTGGGTGATGCAGAGAAGATCAAACGTTGTTTGAACTTTAATTTGTGAGGGAGGTGTTAACTATCCTGTTGCTTTGTATTAGACACACTTAAAAAACAACATTCATACACATTGCTGATGGCCAGTGTTGTAGCATTTGAGAACCAATAAACAGCCCTCTTTTTAAAGCATATATGAAAATATTACGAAATGGAGAGTCCCAGCACCTGTAAACCAGTTGCCATACTGCCCCATTACCAGCTGAATGGTGTAATGACTGGGTAAGAAAGAGGATAATAACAGTGCAACATCAAAGGAAATACAAAGTCAACAGCACTTAGTTCAATTTTACATAGCATTTTCCTCCCACTAAATACGAGCAAACCATAAACCAGGTTGAACCATTCAGTCAGCTGCTATTCTATGTTTGGCAGGTCTGCCCCTCTACAGTACTGCACTAAATCCCTGAAGATAATACCAGTTACTGTAAATGACCTTAACCCTCAGGATCTGCTCTTGTTCTGATGTGACCTACAAAGTTTGCTGACCCTAGATGCATGTGAGGTCATACACAGCTAAATACGGAAACAAATTCTTATTTTGGCCATGGTACACATGCCCTTTCCACAATGGTTGACGAGTGGGGTGCCAGGGTTGTGAAGAATAAGACACCTGTCATCTTCTCTCAACAAAATACTGTACCGAGCAAGAGCAAATCCAGAAGACAGAAAGTTGTGACTCTCCATACCCCAGAACTCTCTACACCTACATCTGCTCCCTACACAAGCAATAGGTGCGCAGGCAGTAGCTAATTCTCCTTGGGTAGCTTCACATACACACTTTTTGTGACTGACTTTGCTTCTGTTTACTGAAAAACAATTCTTTTGTAGGGTTCAAAAGAGCAGTTTTGCAAACCCTCATTAACGGTGTGGCCTGCCTAATAAACATCTGCACAGTGTGATTTTTCTTAAGTATTTCTTGAGCTTTAGCAATGAAGGAGAGAACCTGCCACTGAACAATGTGTTTTGTATTTCTTGTAACTCACTTGAATGCCAGCATGTCCCAGCAGGGTTGTCCTTGATTCTGCTGTTCGCAGCACCAAACACGGTTGGCTTTCCAGTTGTGCCCCCCATCCAGAGACATTTGGAATTTAACAGGCACGCCATCAGCTCTATACTTAACGAAGAGAATAATATATTAATCAATTCCTTTGCATTTTCTGGATTGAGCATTTAATCTTACGAGACTGAGTTATGAGCTGTTCATTAGCCCAAAAGTTTCCATTTCATTTACATCATTGTGGCACTCAGATAGCTGAAGAGAGAATGATGAAATACTGAAATTTCACTCAAAAAAGTAGAAAATTAGGATGACATAAGACTTCCTGCTTCTAAATGCTGAAGTGAATACATTAAAACATCTGGCTTTTTAATTGCCACTGCCCTCCCTCCCCACAAAAAAAAAAAAGTAGGGCTTAGAAGCTGACCCTAAAAGCGTGTCTCCAGCCTCAGTGTATATCAGAATAGCACATTCTCCTGCGAAGACTGACAGTCAGCCGCATGCTTGCTGCCAGACCTTGCCAGACTTTCATGCTAACCTTCTCCTATTTATGGCTCCTAGTCTGACGCCTGCCCATACCTTCAAGTACTGTTTAATAGAGTTTCTGTATGATGTTAACTCTTGTTCTTCTCATTTGTATGACCGAATACAGGGCGGGGATCCTGAGTAACGTTTCAAATGCCACAAGCTCGAAGTCAGATAGATACTGTAGTCACACATGGTTGTTGGTTCAGATGGACTAGCTTGGAGTCAGACAGGAGATATGTTGGCCCTAAAGAAACACACGGACAGATTACTAATAATTTATTTGTTTGCCGTGCAGGTTGTTTTTGTAGCCATTTTGCTTCACAGTCATTTGGAGTGCAGGGAGCCTCTCTTGATCCCAATCTTGTCCTTATACATGGGAGCGCTTGTCCGATGTACCACGTTATGCCTCGGATACTATAGGAACATACATGATGTCATTCCTGACAGAAGTGGGCCTGAAATGGGGGTATGTCTTAATACTTTGCGCTTTTTCAAATCCAATATTTTAAACTTGCTTTTTGTGTTATAATACTGTATTAAACCACTGTGCATGAAGGGCCTCCTCTCTCCGTCCTGCAGGAAAAAACATTTTCACTTAAAGAGGTGTGGTAGAAACTATTCCAGCAGCAGTGCACATGAGGCAATGCTTCCCGTGGTATGGATGTGCTGTCTACTGAGCACCTCTGTACTGAGCTCTGTACTGAGCTGTAAGACAGCACAGCATGAACTAAGTGGACACCTTATTTCACAGGGAAAAGATCTCAAAATTCCTCTTTTTCTTCCAATGTCATATTGGTTTTCAGATATCTTTGTCTGGTAGCCAGAACAAATTATGCAGATAGATACCTTATGCGTTATTTATTGAAATCCATGACACAGCTTCTTCTGAATCAGTGTTACTGACATGAGTGAAAATATTTTAGGCTCTTCATATTGAGAACTATTGAAATGCATGTACCAAACTGACAATGGGTGGGAAAAGCAAAAATCCTTTCTCTGTGCTTTTGGTTCAGTTCTGCATGTTTTTTTCCAAACCCACTTCCTTTTTTAATTTTTTCCTATGTGTTGCAGGGAGAGGCTACAATAAGGAAGATGCTGAGTTTCTGGTGGCCTTTGGCATTAATTTTGGCAACTCAGCGAATAAGTAGGCCCATTGTCAACCTTTTTGTCTCCCGGGACCTAGGTGGCAGTTCTGCAGCCACAGAGGTAAGAAAGTCAGTGCTCTCCATTACTGCAAACGATTATTTACACGGAGTTACCTCTGCGTTTCTCTTCTCAGCCATGCTGACAAGAAAAAACTGTCTTAAGTACATTTCTGTTCAGTGTTCTCTTTATCCTTGAAAAGAAGACTGCTTGGACTCTTACCATGAGCGTTTCTGCCAGGCGTAGTGGAACCTCACCCTCAACAAGACCAGTAGAATTTTTTCACTGAACAGTTCCTGTGTCCCAGGTTTTCATGCTCTACGTAGAGGTACATATGCTCTGGAGCATTCAGGTCCCAGAGATTTTAGGACAGTCGTCAGTAGTCCCATGTTCCACTGTTTCCTATCATGTATATTTATGGCTGTGCAAACTGATGTGAAACTACTGTTAGCGGTCAGTGCATCACACAGAATAGGGTAGAGGTATAAGGAAGCACATAAAAAAAAATCTATCTCCTGGCTGGGATGTGAAATGCACCCTGTTTCTCCTGAGGAGTTTCAGATTACTCCAGTAGTCTCCTACAGCTGATGGGAGCTGGACTTCTGATTGTAATGCAGAGCCTTCACCAATGCTCACCCCATGAGTTGACCTGTTCTCTTAAGGAGTCTGGGGGACCTTTGCTGCCGGTTTCGGTGGGAGGATGTCTAGATCCACGTAGTCATTAGCACATCTCCCATGTTTTCTGAATAGGAAGAACAAAGCTGTAAGATACTAAATGGAAAGGAAAATTCAAACAGCTGATGCCTAACAAACGTTCTCTCAGCACTGCTAATTTGTCATACGTGATACTGTGTATTTCACTCGCTCAGGAGTTGCCAGTGACTGCAAATAAACAGCTGTGGACAGAGAATTTAGGAAACGTAACGCTTTTACATGTGTAAATCGGGGATCAGTCTATGCATTAATAGCGGTCAGTACAAGGGGAGCCAGAGCGGGTTAGCAGAGATCAGTTTTGCATTTCTTGGTGACTTGATTTTAGATGCATCACATTTCATGGCTAGCCAATTGCTTTTTGTTGCTATTAGGATGACTCCAAATACATGTCATAGCTGGTGGTTTGCTGGCCTTTTTACACTAACGGTAATGGTCACATTTCAACTTCCTCTGATTTCTGAAATAATTGCCTCTGAAAAGGGAGGTGCTGGCAACACAGATAACATCAGTGTCTAGAGCATCAGTATACACAGGAGTTTTATAGGTCCCCTGTTGAATAATATCAGCAACTGCCAGTGTGGGCAGGCCTGTGAAGGGCTAGGCTGTAGCACGTTCATGAGGACAGCAAGTCCACTGGCGTTGGCCAACTCCCGTTGCTTGTTTGGACTGCCAGCACAGTTACGGTGATTGGGGTACCTTTTTTGGTGTTGGCTTTGATGGGGGACTTTTTCACCTGTCAAATACAGGTTCTAGACATTTAGGAAAGCTTTCATGCCCTTATTTTGGGATTCCACCAATTGAGGAAAAATACTGGAAGAAAAATCACTGCTAAAAATGTCAATAATATAATCCAAGTGGAATCTAGCATACAAAATGTGGTAGTGAAATACTGTTTTCTTTAACAGTTACTGTGTCTTTGCAGTCTTTTTGGACTTCATCATGAAAATAAGCAAAATATCTTTCATATTCCTTATTTGATTTAACCTAGTTAGGTTTCATACGGATGGAAATTCTGCTGAAAATACAATAATGAGGGGGTGTTTGCAATTAAAAAGGGTACTGTCTTAAAATTCCAATTTGTTTTATTTGAACCAGTTACTTTTTCAAGGTACATGAAGCATTATTAAAGCTATTATTAGCAGGGAAGAATCTATCCCACTCTCTTCCTCTCTGTGGATATCACTACTTTCCCCCCCTCTTTTTAAACAGCACAGGGAACAAATTAGCTTGCTATGTGGTCCTGTGTTTGTATAGATCTTTTAACCAAGCAAGGACAGCAATTACATTTATAATGGGAAAATGGGCTCAGATAACCAAGAAAATGTACGTCGACAGTTTAGGAGTGAAACAGAGACAGCAGGAGTTAAAAAAAGTCTTTCTTAACGCTACCACTGCCAGATGTAAAATGAATCTGAATTTAGGCGGATTGTAACAAATCTGAACCTGCAGACAAAAGGCAGTCAAACACTTTGATTTCTGGAATTAAGAGAGTCAGGCAGTTCTCAGAACAGATGCACACTTCGGCTCTGAGGACTAGAAAATTTGGGGTGACAGTAGATTTCCAAGCAGCTGCAGGAAGAGCTCCCTAAACACCCTTCCTACATGAAAGACATGAAGTACATGTATTTGGACTTTTTCTTCAGAAATCAGAAACATCAGCAAAATCTTTCATACATTAATATGTAGGGGGGGTGTATGTCTTTGATGTACCTCTTGGGCTGTGGTTGTGAAAGTGCAAGAGGGCCTAGTTTTAAATTGCAGGCAGCGAGTTGTTTCTCATGATAAAAACGGTCATCTGGAATTATTTTTGTCTGGTTTTAGTTGATGAGCACCAAAGTGGGGAGAGGGGGTTTTTTTGTCTCGTAAGTGCCTCCTGCCGCAGAGCAGTCAGTCTGATGTCAAAAGTCAGTCAGCCACCGTTACCTACTGTTTTGTAGTCTGTCTGTCTTACTTAAAACTGTTTTACTTACGAATAACCAAGTAAAATGTATATCAATTAAAATTATGAAATATGATCCAAAGCTACTGTGAGCTGTAAGGCATTCTGCTACTCAGGTATCTGTAGGTAAAATAACTTAGGAGCAACGTTTGAGAGAGGTATTCGGCTGGCTGAGGGTCACACACCAGCTCAAGTTAACTATTATCCCAAAGTATCAGAGTGCTGGTGAAACAACAAAGCTGAATAATGTAGCTTCATGGCATAAAAGATTTTGTAAACTTAAAATGCTGGGCAAAATGATGGCCACTCTGACAGTCTTCCTGAAACAAAGAGCTTCCAGTTACCTGCCTGGTTTCTCACTGTGTCAAGGTCAGTGTGGTGATATTGGTGGGAAATGGCACCCTGTGTTAGTTTAACTGTTCTGTTCAAAGATTTGAAGTTCATGTTTCCCTGTCTCTTTTCATAGGCGGTGGCAATTCTGACAGCTACGTATCCTGTGGGACACATGCCGTATGGCTGGCTGACAGAGATCAGAGCAGTATACCCTGCTTTTGATAAGGTGAGTGCCCATGTTAGGGGTGTAATAAATACCTTTCGTGTGGTTTCACATGCGTGGTCTTCCTCTTTCTCTCTGTTACAGTATTTTAATTTAGGGGTGGCTTCAGTGATGTCAGAGGAATTTCTGCCAAACAAATATGAAGAAAGTTAGTTCATGGCTCCATAATCAAGTGTAACAGATTCTTTAAAAAATAAACCAGCCAAAGTTTAAATAGGGCTGTATTCATGGCCATCTATTGTCTTGCTTCTCTTTACTTTTGCTTTTGATGCCTATTGTTCCTTGTCCCACTGATAAGGTTTTCTTAAAATCCTAGTTAAAATGAATTGGCTTTTGGTGCCTTCAAGCTGTTGCCTGATTTATGATTTTAACCTTAGCTCTGTGTTACAAGGTATTAAGCTACCTTTTGAATAGATAGGTGCTGTATTTTTAAGGATTAAAAAAAGTCTTCACTTACTCACTATGATGTAGCTACTTTTAGCTAATGAAGTGGTTTCTCACAAAGTGTCCATCAGTGAGTAAGCAAGCTCACATCTCTGCTCCAGATTCTGCGGTGTCTCTCAAATGGGTTTGGGTTCATTTATGTTAATATTTATCAAAGGTTGTTTCATAGACTGACAGTAACGCAGATAGCATACATTATTTTAGTAGTACTGACTTAGCTGACCAAGACTACGAAGATTTTTGTTGGCAAATCATATAGTTACATAAGAATGCAAGGACTGCTCCTGGAACTGAGCACAGAGTAAATATATAACCAAAATTAATTTTGTTTAGGCTCTTTTTTTGCTCTGTTTTAGAACTGGTACTCACTAGCCCATACGTTGTGCGAAGAACAGTCGTGTCCTGTGACACTGTAATTCAAATGCCAGATCCTCTCCTTCCCTTTATTTACCAATTAGTAACTGAACTTTCTGGTTCCAAATACCGATGAAAAAAATGTTTGCTTGCTCAGGGATATACTTAACTGAAGCAAGCCCTGTTTGATATGATCCACCATATTTCCAAGGAGAATTTAAAAACAAAACAAAGAAAAGTCAAATCAGTCATAACTTCCCAACCTTAGCCTATGTACAGCTAAATTGACCTGTCAGATAAAACACGACATGCAGGCTTTCTCAGAGGTCACGCTGCTGAAAAGGAACTGCAGATGCAAAACCAATAAACTGCAAGATAAAAATGGTTTGGGACAGGAAACACAGGGGCTGCTAAGCTCATGTGTTACGAGCCACAATCAAATGCACTATTGCCAATCAAAATTAACAGTAATTAAGACTCCTAAATTCAGGTCTGATATAGCTGGTGGAAGATGTGCTGACAACTTTAGTGGTGACAGGATTAGACCATGATTTGTCTGTTTGTTTATTTCAGTTGAAAGGCTTCTCATAGAGCTCTTGTGGAACAACTGTGAGGAAGAAAAAGCTAGGGTAAGGCACAGATAGGTACAGTTTATCTAATTGCTGAAAAAGTATATAATGGGGATTTTAGTTGCATGTTTTAAGAGCAATTTGACATAAAATGTGATAAGTGAGGTAGCAGCAGTATAAAGGGTTTCTCATCCTGGCAACCATGTGTGCAAATGCCTCCACTGTACCTTTCAGACAATAAATACCAAACCAGAAACCCACAGTGGGTTTTTTTTAGATTGCTGTGAGAATTGCTTTACCCTCGGTCACGTCATTTGTGTGTCACCGTGCCTTTCAAAAGCTTTGTTTCCTTAAGCTAAGGCTTTCTCAGAAGAGTGCGGATAGAAGCACTTTTTATTTCCAGACTCTGTAAAGCCTCCATTGTGATTTTCAGATGCTGAAACAGTTTGCATGCATGCAAACTCCCATTTTCTTTTGTCAGTTACTCAGAAAGCTGGCAATGCTGATGGCCGTCAGAAGCACACTGCATTGCCTTAACTGACTGATGGGATTTGGAATCCAGATAGTATGCCGCCCTTCAGTGGCTCTACTGGAGAAGTCAGATTCTTGTATTCACTGGGAAATCGTTACCTCTGTTCACGTTTGTAAGAGAGATGCAGGGTCCTGCTTCAGTCTTTTATGAGACTGTGTCCAGAGCAACCTCATGGCCTAGCAGTTACACTCAGGTTAAGGGTTACTACTGATTTTCTGAAAGAAAACAGGCATATCCTAGTTCTGTGCTCTGTTTGCTGTTTTAAATGGTGATAATGCCGTTACTCTTAATGGACTGTGCCGTCTGATTCAGAGCAACAACACTGACTGTGGGAGGACTTGTGAACGCTGTTTATCTGGTTAATAGATGGGAATAGTGTTTTGATCCAAGAACTAAACAATGTGCAAGAGAGAGGAATAAAGAGTATGTGGTGAAGAGTTAGAGCAAAGGGCCGAGTAGAGCAAGGGCAGAGTTAGCAGCAGCGAGGTAGGAATGAACGAGAGCCCTTTTTCTTTGCAGCCCTTTGGATGGCTGGATATGGGTGTGCTTTCCTTTATCTCTGATATTTTAGCCTTGTTAGAAAGGTGAGCCATGCAGCAGAGTTCGTTTAAACACTGGTGAGAGATGTAAGCAAGGCCTGTCCTCACATATATAAAAGCTAACAGTAACAAAATATTTCTTCAGAAACACAAGAAATAAGAATAGATGCGTGAAAAAAATGTTTACAGAGAGTTTTCATAACCTGTTCCCAAAAAGGGCAGATGTGGGAGTAGCTTCCTGCTTTAGGGTCTGGGTTGCCTACGTGCATCTTCATGCACCCAAACTTCCAAGCAGGTATTTAGGCAGGAGCATGGGGCTGTCCAGGTGCTGTCACTGCACTGATCACCACAAAAGCTTTAAATTGCAAAATTCCATCAACTACTTGAATGTGTGTGAAATGGTGTACCCTTCACAGAGCTCACATTCAGTTTGTCCACTTCCAAGATGTGTTTGCATAGGTTCCTATTTCTCTTACGAGTAACTCCAGTAAAGGAGGCTGACCGTGTGACAGATACTGCTGTTCTACCTGAGTTACATCAAGGTTGAATAAATGTTGTACTACATCTCATGGTACAGGTTTTATCAGTGTGGGCACATACTTGTGTATCTCAAACAGCCCCAGGGTAAATGCAGTAGATGACCCAACAGCCTGTTGCTACAGGGCTCCTAATGGTGCCCTGCTTTTGATATCCCATCCTCTCCTTTCACAGACCATTTAGTTTGTTTTTATGTGTTCCCTGGGGGCGCTTTTAAATCTTCAGCTTCATTTGCTATATTAGACATTTGGAAGAGGGCTTTTGTTGTTTTAAATAAAACTTCGCTGCCGTGTGAGTACCGAGCCCATGTTCAAGGTGGAACATCTAATAGTCCTAATTATGTTCTGTTCATTAAACTGCATTAATGGAGCCAGCAGTTCCAGGAGCTTTGTTTATATTACCTACTTGTCTCATTGGATCAGTAAGGGTGCTTGCATTGGTGTATGGATTCGGTACCACTCTGTGGTAAAAAGGAATGGAAGTGAAAACATGGTACAAACTTTAAGGTAAAAATCACATGGAGTTTCCTTAGAAAGAGCTACCACCCTTTTTCAAAGCTGCATTTGTTAAATAGGACTTATTCCTTAGAAAAGTAGGGAAATTACTCAGCCCTCAGTGACCATAGCAGCAGTTGCTGTCAGTTTAAGTGGAAAATATTCTGCGGTGGTACAAAGTACTCAGAAAGCTCTAGGTTAAAAAGCAAACAGGCAAAGACAGACATGCACGCGCACAGACAGTCAGGTCCAACACATGACCCTGGTGCTTTCAGCCTCCCGCTGGTCTGGAGCCAAGCTAATGCTCGTTATCTCTTTCTCTCACCCTAGAATAATCCCAGCAATAAATTGGTGAACACCAACAGCACCGTCACAGCAACACATATCAAGAAGTTCACTTTTGTTTGCATGGCATTGTCCTTAACGGTAAGAAACCTTTGTTCAACTCTCTGGCTTTCATCTCAACCAGAAAATTATCTCCTCTACCTAATGCTAAAAGCACTAGCAGTTCAAGAAAGGTGAGTTGTCTTTTCTTATGAAGTCCTGTTGCTTTTATCTGGAGGAGAGAGTGTGATCGTAGTACTGGAGTACTAAGAAAATCAGCTATCATTAACTCAGGCTAGATATCTTATGGGCTAGAGTTATTTTATTTAATTCTTCTCACTACTTTTCATTTCAAGTCAGCCTCCACATGCAAAGAGATATCAGAGATCTGCTTTTCTTTTTTCTCTTTTTTTTAATGAACAAAACTTCTGATAACCAGCACGTCAGGAAAATGAAAAAACGCATTTGTCTCACGTGCAGTGGGATGGCAGCCTGTCCCCGGGCATCATTTACTGTGAACGGTGGGAAAGGCAGCAGGTATCGAAACTGCAGTAGCTGTTTACTGCCACCTCACATGGCACTGGTCTTCCATGCCGGGGGTACTTTCATGCAAGTTGGTTTTGTTTACTCTCAAAATGAACTAAAAAGGGCAATCTCGGAGACAGTGCTGACACTGACAAAAGGATCTAAAGCCTTGTCTCTGCTGGGAAGCATTGCAAGGGGCTGACATTCAGGGAGAAATTTTGCTGAGCCTGCAGCATTTCAAAACAACCAGCTTGCACACATACGTACAGTGCATCTTCCCCAAGAAAACTATTTCTGCACAAGTCTTTTTAGCAACAAACAGGCAGCTGTGGAAGAAAACTCACGCAGGTGGTGGTGATCATAGCAAATAATGGAGCAGATGACCAGAGTAAATGCAACTCCTGTTTCTACATAGGATGGATTTACATTACTGCTTGGAGCTGGTCAAGCCACCCTCTTCCCACTTGGGGTGGACTTGCACTAGCAACCATACCTCTGTCTGTGACAGTCATTAGCAGATTTGTGATCCGTGCATGGTGTCCTAAGGAGCCCTGGGCTGGCTCCTGTCAGGGCACCACCAGGTGCCAGGACTGCCAGGGTCAGTCATGGCAGGGCCTGTCAGCCAGGGCCCGTCCCACTCCCAGCCAGGAGCAGGGCAGCCGAGAGGCACTGGGGCAGCCCCGGGCACTGGGCATCTCTCTGGGGCCGGGCCGAGGCCGGGCCGGGACGTGGACCCACAGGTGGGCCTGGCTCGGTGTTGGGCCCGGCGCGGGGGGCCCGTGGCAGGGCAGGGCTGTGGGGAACTGTAGACCCGCTCTGCTGTGGCGTCGCTGGGGCAGGGGCTGACGGCCCTGGGGGTCTGACATGGGGTCCTGGGCTGTGGGCAGGGTGGGGGGAGCCCCGAGGCCTGGGCAGGGAAGGTCAGGGATGGCAGTGCCCTCAGGGACATGACAGCTCCTCTCCTCAGTACCTGCACTAGCAGGACAAAAGCCAAGGGGAACCTGGAAAATAAGTTTCTCAAAGTCCTTCCTCACACTAGAAGAGTAAGTGGGAAATGCTGCAATTGTTTTAGGATATGATGCTCAGAGTCTTAAAATTGAATCTGTTGATACCCCAAGCAGGTTTTCTTGGGGCAACCCAGTGTTGCGTACCTTCCACGGGGTAGCTGGCTGCTTTGTAACTCTCTTCTCCCCACATTCACAAATTTAATTTTGAGTAATGGAGGGCTGACATAATTTCTCTCTCCCCTTCTTTTTAGTGTAGAGCCTTTTGACTGAGTCACACATGGCCTATACATGAAGGGAAACTAGTTTACATCAAAGAAAACATTATAGTACACGAGCCTGCAGTATTTGTAACCATCCCCATCCCCTGTCCCAATCTGAGAAAGTGGGATACGGTACTCTCTGTCTTATTTCATAGTTGAAAATGAAGCAACTCAATCCATCAGTAGCTGAATTAGCTAACAAATTAGCTTCTGCTCTTTGTTTCCTATGTTTTTTCCCTAAACAGCTACAACTGGCCACTATCAAAGACAGGGTTGCATGAACCAATGTGGCATCGCTTTTGTCTATTCATTTCCTAGATTTAAGATTGAACTCTCTTTTCATGTGGCTTAGAGGGCTCCTTTGGGAGGGCACAAGCTGCTTCGCTGCACCTGCTGCTGCCCACTCCACGTGGCGGTCACAGCTGTGCCCTCACGCACACGTCTGTGTGCAAACCCTGTGCAAGTCAGTGAAGCTGCGTGCCCTGAGTTGAAAGCAGGCCATCGATTGTGCAAGCAGCACTAGGGAAAGTGGGACATTCAACTCTCCGAGCAGACTGGGAGTGGTGGCATCTGTTCATGTCTCAGTCAGCTTGGAAGGCAAGTGAGGTCTTAATGAGAGCTGCGAGCACCCTCATTTAAATCGCTGCCATTGGAGTAAAAGCATGGACAGCTCTATGTAGCTGAAGCAAGATCACTGCTTGAGGAGCATACAAGACGCTGATCAGAGAAAGCGATTTCTCAGAGACCACTGAGAAAGATTCCTAGCTCACTGTCACTAAAAATGACCCAGAATAGTCTGTACTTACTTGTTTGTTTATACCAGGGAAGGAGCAATCAGTTCTTACAGCAGTAGTTAGTGAACTATATTATTCAGTTCAGCTTCGTCTTCAAGCAGCCTCAGCTGGGACAGACCACAGTGCTTTAGGGATACATTTCCAAACACTAGCTCCTGTTAGCTGCATGGTTCCTGTTAACTAAAGTGTCAGCAAGACACGTGGCCAGGTGTATCTTCATATTCTTGAGTGCTCTATGTATTACAACAGGTTTTCCCTTGCCAGTAAGACAGGCTCAAGGTGCCAAGGCTGACATGCTGTGCACACCGCGCCACGTTCATCTGTCTGTCACCAAGTTAATGTACAGCAGGAGAGCTGCACAGTATTCCTCAGTTTTAACGTGTTCTATTAGAAACAGCTCAAAGCTCTTTCCAGCTTTTTCCACTTCTCACTAAAGTGAAGGCTCAGGCACTTAGGCTGAAAAAATTGATATGCATCAGTTGTGTTGTGGTAACCAAATTCAAATGCCAGGTAACCTGCATTAGATTTAAATCTCAGTGAAAGTTTAAATTTAATGTACTTAGAAGCAAACAGCTGGTCAGTTTACTGGCTTGTATGTCTGGGCCCGAGAGTTGAATACGTGTGTGTCAATACATGTCAAAATGTCACCTGCTTTACAGTCAGGTTTGTCCATAATTGAGGAGTCTAATGATAGCTTTAAAATGTTTCTAATACTTACAATATTACTTTCCATATTATATATTAGGCCATTTTTTATAGTCTATGATAAAATATTACTTTTTTTGTAAATAGAATGTAATATTTGGATTCATATCTGAACTTATTCTTTTGATAGGGGAAAAAACACATACTGATTTCTAAGGGCTCCTGCTGATGAGCATCTGTAGCTTAAGGAGTAACTATTGGCAACTGTCTGTTTCTTTCATTTACTGGAAGCTATCAGCCCCTTAGGGAAGAGCAGCACACAGGCATTGTGTCAGCTCTTCAGTACTTGGATCTTGCAGCACAGCAGCATAAGCTACCATCAGTTGGCAGTTACATTCATCTTATATATTAACGTGTAGTGTATGTAATTATAAATATGTATCTGATAAGTATATAATCATATGCAGAGTGTAGTTACATATAATTATAGCGGAGGTTTTTATATTATATTATAACAATCAGAAGTTTGAAGCTGCAGCATTTAACGTGTTCGCCTGTTGATCTCTTATTTCCCCCCAACCGTGGGCAGAAAAGTGGGACAGACTGCTGAGGACCGTAGGCTTTTTAACTGATCTTGCAAGATTCAATAGAGGGATCCCATCACAGTCTTAAAACAGCAGAGAGGGCTCCAGAGTCACAGGGTTTCTTTTGCTGGGTCGCTGTGGTGGGATAATTCCGTTCCAGCCTCTTTCAGGAGGAAAGTCTCTGTCCCATTTGATGACAGTTTACTGCAAGCCATCCCATCATTTGCCTAATCTCCAGTCTTCATCTGCTTGGTTATCGTTTATAATTAATCATCAAGCACCTAGGAGATAAGAAGAAAACCCTGATCAAGAACAAGGAAGCCAGTGTAGCATGGAAAATTCCCTGTATGAAAGAATTAAAGTACAGAATACAGGACTCAGTAGTTGCTGCTTGCTACTTAATTCTGTAAGAGCTAGAGCCAGTCACTGTGGAAGAGAAGCAGCTGTGTTTCACTCAGGCTGAGAAGCCTCGTCTGTTTAAAAGGCAACTCCAGATGCCTAAGCTTTTGCGCTCTGCTTTGGATTTGGTTATGCCAAACTAGGAACTGCCAAGTGCCAAGTGGATACCATCTGCCGACTCTCCTGTCCTGTTGATCAACAAGGCTTCACCAGCCAGTGAAATGCAGGCACTGGCAGATAAAATTGGAGCCCACATGACTGAAGACAGAATATTCATACCAACTCAGTATATTATTGAAATAGCATTGGTTTATTGACGTATTCCCACTCTGATGCTATGCACCTACTAAACATGTTTTACTCAATGGTTGTTTAATTTCCAGCTGAACTCAGCAAATCTTTTTATTTTCCAGCCATCGGTTCTGCAGCTGATTTTTCCCATGAGCGTCACCAAAGACTATCCAGTTTTCAGTAGACCCATTTGATCTCAAATTTTCAATCTCTAGTTTAATATGCCATTTCATATCACTTTCTGCATTTACCTGTAAGTTCATTTTCCACATGACAAAGTATCCAAGTAAAGCTCTTGCGTACGTAAGACACTGATGTATTTCATGTTTTCAGCTACGCTGTCCTGCTAAACAATGAGACATAAAGCAATTGTTGGTAAAGGACAGAAATTAAAGAATTCTTTGTATCCCCGCAGCAAGACTGACTGCTGTCCTACTAGGCATCCTTAGCTTGCATTCAGGATAATATGAATTAGACTTGCATATTGAGAAACGCCAAGGAACATGTTCCTGTTTCACTGATGAAACCTTTTGAAGGCAGGAGTGTCCATAGCGTGCTATAACTGCATGGCACTTCCATGCAGTAGGCATCTCTTGC